GGGATTGGGCCTGCCATCTGCCACCCGGGGAGCGGGCCTAAGCCAGCAGGTGGTTATCTCCCAAGGGGTCCCAGACTGTGAGAGGGCACAAGTGGGGCTGAGGGACACCCCACACACACCCCTCCCCTGCCAGTGCACAAATTTTTGTGCACCGGGCCTCTAGTATTTAATAATTTCTTAATTAAAATGCCTTTATATATCCCAAGTAGTAAACAATAAACCAAAAAATAAATTTTAAAAAACTTCTCTTCCATTGTGAAGGTGACAAATATTTTTGAAAAGGGAATTTACCAGAAGAATCTATTTTGTCCCCACCAAAATAAAGTACCTGAACTTTAAACAAATTCACATTTTATTTACGTCGAAATAAACTGTACAAAATTGACTTTCTTCACCAAAAATAACAGCAATATTTTCTGTATTATTCCTAGATAAACTACAAAACACATTTTTGTAGGTTGTCTAGGTTTTGCTTATAAATCAAGACGAGGCAGTAGATATAATCATGGGAAAAGACAGAATAAAACAGACCAATCTGTTGTCAGTATCCATAGCCTCTGATCCTATCTTGACCATGAAACAGAAGTGTTCAACATATACTTGCTAAAAAGCTTATGAAGATATAGGCTCAACAAAGGAATGTAAACAGCAACACCCAGATGTGGAACAGTGGCAGGTTCTTCCTTCAATGTTTAACAGTAATTTGTTTAAGATTATCGAATAAAGACAAAATCTACACTGAAATCCTTGTTTGGCAAGCTCACGTTTCTTTCACTATCTGGTAATTTAACTGTTCATTAAAGATTTTTAATAGTAAACTTAAAACTCCTGCTATTCAAAGGTTAGTCATGAGCTTCATTGTAAAATTTTATGAAACATATTCCTCTCACACCTTCTCAAAATTTATTTCTTCAAAGAACTGGTAACTCAATACCCAACAACAGGATCCACAGTGATAATAATGTTATGTCTAAATTGACTTAACTAAAACAATTCCAAAGTGCCATTAGCAGAGACCACGCAGAAGTGCAGCGTGGCACTTTCAATGCTACCCTCTGGAAGAACAGTTAGTTCTCCAAAGCATGAGAGTTCAAACGGGCCATTTAAACGGTCAGATTATCAATGGCTAATGTACTCAAGATATTCAGTGATTAAGTGGCCTACATATATCTTATAGCTTTTCTATATTTTCAAATTTCTTAGATTTTTTTCAATATCAAATATAAGAGAAAACCCATTTTAAAAGTCTCTCAGGTATTTTCGATAGTTTCGGAATTATCTGTAGGAAGCTCTGACTTAGTTGTATAGAGTTTGATATATGTGTCCACCATTAAATCCAAATCATGTTTTATATCAAAGTTTATGTTAAGCAAAGCTAAGTTACTTGACCTTTGGTCTGTCAAAGTGTTCCTCAGGTATGCTTTGAGACGCTTTCGCCCATTTTCATAGCGTTCATTCTCAACCTTCATCACAGGAAGAATACATAGGACCTTCAACAATGCATAAACATTAGGAAAAAACTTGATGTCTGGCAGGTGGAGGG